TTTTTTTTTTTTTTTTTTTTTTTGGGAGCTTGATGTGAACCCCCTAGATGCACTGAGGTTCATACACGAGTGAATTAGGGTTTTCGGGGGTTGTATTGATTCTTGTTCTATGAATGTGTTAATTTCTGGTGTTCCGTTAGTTTTTGAGTTCCTAGTGCATTCTAGGGTTCTTTCAGGTTGAAATCTCCGACCTATAGAATCATTGGGTTCTTGGTAAAACTTTGATATGTTCTCATTTTAAGCTGAATTGAAGGAAAAATATCTGGAAATACTTTGCCTTTGCACCTGATTGAATTCGGTATTAATTATTAATTTGCCTTTATAGTAGTTAGTTGAAACAGACAATAGAGGAAGAACTTTCATATTAGAATTCATAAAGTAGGTGTTTGGAATGCTTTCTTTGTAGTAGCGGAAGCAGTGTGGGGGATATTTCTAGTTCTGTAATAATCCTGTTCATCTTCTCTCCAATTGTGTATGTCTTGTCTCAGAATGGTAGCAGTCTGATTGAAATGTCATCAGGCTTTCCTCCTGTCTATTTTGTAGATAACTGTTTCCATTGTTAGGCTTGATACTTAAAAGTTCAAAGATGAGGTGTTATCTCACCTTTTAGGAAAACTACTTCCTTAGCCTTCCTGGGTAAGTGATTGGGAGTATTGATCATTTTATATGTTTCTCTGATACCAGTGGGATTGTATCTTACCTAACTAAAAGGCAGTACAAGTTATTATTTTTCCATACCCATTTTAACTATCAAAATGAAGCATCCTGAAAAGGACACTAGCTGTTCTATTTTGGAAATTTATGTTTACAATTAGCATGTAGGAACTTCAGGTCAAAAGCATTAGCATTTTAGTTGATTGATATGGAAATGGGGTAACATATTTTCTGGTAAATCTAATTTAGAATTTTTAAAACTATTTAGTTTGCAAGTTCATGACCAAAAGATGTAGTTTACTGTTTATTATTTTAGATTTAAGATATAGTTGTTAATTAGTTAATTTTCCTTTTCCAAAATGCAATGGAGCAAAGTCTTCATATGGATTAATGCTTGCAAGGGTTGTTCTTTATACATGAAAAGTTTGTAGATCCCCCACATGGATTCTTAACTATTTGGTGGTTATTTTTGCAAATTTTTTCTCGTTTAATTTCCTATCTAATTCTTTTATGCAAGACTTGATTTTATTATGTTGCTGTGTGGCATCTTATCTTTAAACATATTGTTAATTTTTGATAGGCGTGGACCACCTTGTTGTTCAATAGTATTTTAGTTCTCTACCTATCTATTAGGGCATCAAAAGTACCATAGACCTATAGGGGTTTGCCTTATCAATTTCCTTTAGTCTTAGTAGGATTTATGTATTTGCTCAGGCTTTTGCTTAGAGAACCAGAGATTAGGTATCATGATTTAGATAGTCTCGTGTGTGATTTAGTTCTATGTATCTCGTTAGAGTACACTTGCAGCAATGCTAATATCAGACATAATTTTTCTGCAGTACTTTTACAAGGTCATGCTTGGAGGGATTGCCAAGTACATTCATTAAGTGATGCAATAATTTTTGCAATGGCATTATCTCCATCCTCGAGATGCACGTATTAGCAAATATATATGCTTTATAGCAAGTTGTTAAGTGGAAAGCTCTAAAGCTTTTGAAAATAGCAACTCAAAAATGTGGGCATAATTCAAGTATAAAGAATCCATTAATATTCGGAGTATGTTGCCAAACTTCCTTGGTGCCCACAATTCAACAATGTCATTATGGAGTTATAGTGGACTTGAAAGGAAAATATCCCTTTCCCCTGCATGTAGGAGCTGAAATGTGCTGATGATTAGGAATAACCATTCGTTATGTCTTAATTCAAACCAAAGTGCCCTTTCCCTTGCATGTGAAGGCTGTACGATGCTGTTGGTTTGGAATAACTAAATATTGTTCGAGATGATTATTGATCAATTGCAATGGATTTATATGAGATCTCCAGGGGTGATAGGAAATTTGAGAAATTGTATAATGTGCACTTGTGGATGGGCCTATTCATTTTCAGGGGGAAGAAGCTTTTTAGCATTTTAGGATGATCAGGATTGTATATGTGATTTTTGTTGGAGATAAAACATGAAACTAAATTCTTGCTTTCCCATTGCAATAAAAGTTTACCATGTTATCCAAGGTTTTATCAGTAGCGTGTTCCTTTCAAGAACAAAATGTCATATTTATGTGTTGATGACTCAAGAATTTTGCAACCATTGTTATTTGTTAAAGATGATACAGAAATTTGGTAATTATATCTGGTGTTGGCTTATTATTGTATTAGTCTTCCGTGTACTTGTTAAGAACAGCTCATCCAAAACACTTAAATCATTGGAGATGGGACCAACAAACTTGCCAGTCACTAAAAGGGTAGGGACACTATAGACTTTTTGCTGAAACTAAACTGCAGAGTAGACTTGAGGAGTATGGAGACTAAGCCTCTGCAACTAGGTCAATTGGTTTTGATACCATGTTAGGTTTCCCTTTGAGTTATTAGGTAATAGATCTAACTGTTCATAAATCTATAATATACACTGACACTTGTAAGCCAAAACCCTTGGTCTTTAAATTTATAGCTAGACTAGAAACCTGACCCATATCTAAGTAATGGGAAGCAAACTTCAGTAAGATGTCAAGTAGCTGCCTAAAAGCTTAATGACCAAGTATGGTTGTCATTATCAGATTTATTTGAAAACTTAAAGCTGAAAAACTATTTGGTTTGTAGGGTATTTAGGAATTATTAATGGAGTTGCACGTATCAGTTTTAGGGCTTGACATGCTGCTTGCTAATTATACGGTATTTATAATTTATTCATAGTCATATAATCAACTTTCTGGTTGTGCACGGTCCAGCCCTAGGACTTGGGAGTTATAGCTTTCTATCAGTTGAATCGGTAGCCTCTTTATTTTCTTATGTTTACACTTTATTTTCTTGATGTTACCTGCCATAATCATTAAGTCATAAATATGCTTAGAAAAGATGGTCTATTGCCTTGCCTAAATTTTTTCAAGGGTTAAGGATCTGGACCAGGGTTTTTTTTCCTCTTCTTGAGCTGGTGTCCTATGTACCAGTTTAGCAACTGTTTGAGCAATAGATCCAAGCGTGGGAAAGAAGAGTTGACTATGATGGTCAAATGGCTATTGAATCTTATGTAGATCAAGTGAAGAATTCTTGCCCTATAGTTCCACTGATAATCCCTCTTGTCCCCTGTTTTAGATGTGTGGTCTGGAGAAACAAATATAAGTAATCATTAGACAAAGCATTGTTGATTTACGTTGACTCTTCATTGTAGACCTGTTTCCTACTCAACGATGTTCTGTAACCTTATTGATTATTTGTTTACCTTTTTATTGACCCTCCATTTTGACAGTGCATGTGGAAAGGACAGTAAAAGCTTAATCTAATTTCAAAGAATTAAATGATATTGTTG